GGAAGTACAATTGATATCAATACAACATTTGAGCTCTATTTGTTTTATTTATCATCAAGTGATTTACCTACACTGAATCTATCCTTAGACCGAATTTCATTTGCTTATCTTGTAAGAATCTACCAAAGCCAGTAAGTCCACCTTCAAATTGTTTATCATCAACCTATTATATTTTGTATACGAAAAAAACGGAGACAATTACAAATCAGTATATATTGATGAATGTGCTTTCCTCTAGACTCACGATTAGTTTTCCTTCTGGATCCATTCCCTTGTTCCATTCACAAGCTATGACAAAGGTTTTGAAGCCTAGGTCTTTGAGCCCAGTTCTTTCTAACACATCTACTTGAGGTTTCAATCCATAATCGTTCCATTGACAATATTGAGATGAAGTGAAACCCAAGGGTGCTGAGATTGTTTTTCAAAGAAATCTAATCAACGTTAGACCTCTTTAAAATCGTCTTGAAGATTTTCGTGTCCAAAAGCTCACGTCTTTTTTGATTAGGAGGTTGTGGTAGTTGACCTGGCAGTGGGGCCCCGGGCGGCATTGGTTCACATAGAAGTGATGTTGATAGGTCCAAGATGATCAAAGTGATCAAAATCCCAGTACGAAATGAGAAGCCTCGAGTTTGATAAAGTTTTCGTTCGGGGCATTTTAAAGTTTCCATGGCGGTGAAGCGAGTTTAAATAACAATAAATAATGCTTGGACTGAAGAACGTCAATGAACTGTTTGTACGGCATCAGCTTGGATCATATGGAAGAGATGATTCCTGAATGGTCAACACTCATCATGCATACCTGCGTGTTTGTCTGTAAGTCTCAGTGTGCGGAGAAACTCAATCCAAATAAGGCTTGGTGTTTTGATATATAAAATGACGCTTATCGAAGAAAAGATTGAGGGTTCAAAGTGACATAAAACTTAGATCAAACGAGTTGAAAGGTTTTGGATGAAATATATATAATGTCAGTGTTGAATAAAAAAACGTCGGCGAGATATGATCAAAGAGAAAAGGTAGATGATAATTAGAGTCAGAAGGGCTACTCCCACTTCGGTGTTATAAGATTCTCACAATTTTGAAAGTGAGAGGAATGTGAACGTTTTATCAAGGATTCCATCGCCACCGGTCCTACATAGAATCTCGGGATAAAATTAGTCGGAAGGAATCATTCGCCGCTTTGACAAACTTTCTCAGTGCCACACCACCTCGCATTAGTAGTACATCGATCTGACGATCTATGGATTTGTTTTGTCAACAAGATGGGTGATAAGCAGCGGAGTTTTCATATTGAAGTTCGAATGTGCGATCCTTACCAACAGTCTGACCGCTGAATTATGATAACTTCTAGCAACGGATCAAGCTTGCCTCTCTCTCGGCTGATTTTCACGAAGCCTTTATCAGCTTCTTCTTCTTCATGTGAGGTATATGTAGTTGAAACGATACTATCACACGAGCTCTGTTCGGCAACAAAGTGCCGATATTAGGTCATCACTGGCAGCTCGATAGCCTTGAATGTGTGCATGTATTTGACTCTGTTTGCTAGATTTTAGTCTGAAAGAATGAACCATCTCAGAGGAAGCCGACAATACGAATGACGATACAGTGAAGAGCGAGCAACCCAGAAAGCTCACCGGATTGATCACTCGAAGGTGACATTCGCGAGTGATTCGACTACATCTGACACTGTCCTATCATCCTCTTAGTTCTCGTATGGTGGGGTGATAGCCACGTCGATGGAGCCTGTAGAGTTCCAAGTCCTACCTACCTTTTCAGGGTGAATCGATCCATTCAGCCTGGGTTCGGTATATGAGTCAATCCGCTCGTCTCCGTTTCAGGTCGTATCCCTCTGTCCCGGTAGGCTATATCGTTTCCGAAGAGTTGCTCGATACCAATGTTCACTGAAATCAGTATGATCGATGAACTTGGTAAGGGTTACGTTTTAAGAGTGGTCTCAGAAGTAGAACTCTGGACGATTAGGATTGATGAGAGATGGATTGAACCGTCCTCGAAGTACGTCATTATCATCAGGTAATCCAAGGAGTCAAGATCGATAGACAAGGTCTCTGGAGGTCAAAGGATTGAACGAAGTAAACTTTCATTGGTTGACTACCGCTAATTATCTTTGATGGTTTTTCTTTCGCTCA